CCACTGCACTCCAGCCTAGGTGACAGAGCAAGACTCTGTCTCAGAAAAAACAAACAAACAAAAAACAAAACAAAAAAAACATAACCAACCAACCAACCAACCAAAAACACTAGTCTACTCTCCCCAGGCTCATCTGGCCTTACCTGTTCAAAGCCAGGCTCATTGTGATAGGGGTTCTCAGTCATCAGGGACTGGATAGAGATGAGCACGGAGGAGATGCTCTGGGCTGGGCTCCAGGCAGGTCCAGTCCATGTACTGTAAACACATCAGAAGGAAGGGAGGGTGAGGCAGAGACCTGGGGCCCGGCAATACCACCATAAGTGACTCACCATAAGTTTCTCTTTCACTATTAATACTCTGGAATTTCCCAGCCTCTGTCTCATGCTCATGTTCTGATTTCAGCAGAAATCAGTCAATTGCCTAATCCTCATATCAAGGGGGGCAAAAGAATAGGTAAAAGCAAGCTATGTAACTTTGAAGGGATTTTCTTTATACTAGAAACAGTTATGACAATCAAAACAAATTAGGTAAGCAATCAGCTCCAAAAGTTGTCTAAATGTTAATCTCTGTGGATCTCAAAGAGCCCGTTTATGGGTGGTGATGGAGTTAGTGAGGGGAGAGAGAAGTTGAACATAGAGGCAAACAGGTGACTGAAGTCATCTGGTTAGAGGCCATGTGGTGGGGCTATTGGGGATCCAGTTTTGTATCAAACCCCCAAGGACTGTCAAATTCTCTTAAGACTACATAACTCTACCTAAGGACAGGAAGAGAGTGCTTCCAGACAGTGGAAGGTGTGAAAATAATATATGGAAAACATCGAATACCAAAATTGCTCCTCTCTTTCATAAACCCAACCAAGTATTAGGGGGAGTGGGCAGCTTGGATGTTAATGACATTTATTTTTAGCTCAATTAATTGAAGAGATGGCACCGGAGCTGGAAACCAAACACAACCTAAGCCAGGACTGGCTTGTTCAAGTTGATTGCCCACTTCCCTTTCCCTGCGGTACCTGAGGAAAGCCCAAGTGAGTAATGCCTAATGGTAGCTTCACTGGGGGCTGCTCTTAAGTCTTCTCTCTTTTCAGCTTTGCTTCCCCAGAAACTCTAGACCTCCCCCTCTCTGAAGCTTTACAACAGTGTCAACTCTCATTAAATTTATTTAGTCAGTGAGTCAGCCCAACATTGTTTTCTAGGTAGGGAGGGGAAAAAAAAAAACAAGGCTGATAAAGCTAATACAGTCAACTAGGAACACCTACGAATTTTCTTTTCTTTCTTTTTTTGAGACAAAGTCTCCCTCTGTCACCCAGGCTGGAGTGCAGTGGCGTGATCTTGGCTCACTGCAACCTCTGCCTCCCAGATTCAAGCAATTCTCATGCCTCAGCCTCCCGAGTAGCTGGGACTAGAGGCACGCGCCACCATGCCTCGCTAATTTTTGTATTTTTAGTAGAGACAGGGTTTCGCCAGGCCAGGCTGGTCTCAAACTCCTGACCTCAGGTGATCCACGCGCCTCGGCCTCCCAAAGTGCTGGGATTACAGGTGTGAGCCACCACACCCGGCTGAATTTTCTACTCTGTGATTCTTTACGGCAAATTTTCAATTTCAGGACAGCTTTTCCTTGTCTACCTAACACACTTCTACTACTTTTACCCCACTGTCCTGTCGTTGGTATCTCAAAAGTTTTATATTGACCCAATGAGGGAGAGCCTACTCTGAGACATGCTTTCATGAACAAACTTCATACAGAAGCAATGACTAAATTTCTTTACCATCATGGGTTTTAGCCTACCAGCAAAGACAATTAATTAAGTACCCTAACAAGATGAAGTACTTCTTTAAGGACAGCCTCCTTTAAAGGACTTCTTCACTGCCAAAATCACAGCAGAACATATCCCTGGGTCTGAGCAAGTTCTAGAAAAATGAATCATGTCTCTAAGTTTATTTCAAACACTGCCCTTCCCTCACACAAACCTGGAAACATGTTGGATAGCAGGAAAACAGAATCATCAGTTTGGGGGTACTTTCTCAACTTCAACCTGCACGTGTTCTCTGCCCCAGAGAAGTTCAGACCACTATAAAAAGACCAATCCAAAATATGCTAGAAGACATGTCCACACTGAGTTTTCAGACCCCAAAGGCAACTAAAATGGGAACTCTATGAAGCAAAACCTCAGAAGCATCCAGAAAGAAGATGCACTAGAAACTCATTTCATATATAATATGATTTCCACTGGGAGGCCGAGGTAGGTGGATCACAATGTCAGGAGATCGAGACCATCCTGGCTAACACAGTGAAACCCCATCTCT